ATGTGGCTTTGGGGAGAAGTGGTGCCGATCGATTCAGTTTTGCATATCTACGGTCTCTTTCTCTGTCATGGTGAATGACAATCTGGAAGGTTTTTTTCGTAGTAGTAGAGGATTGAGGCAAGGGGATCCTCTATCCCCATTTCTGTTTGTCATTGTTATGAAAGTCTTCAGTAGGATGCTTGAGAAGGCTGTGGGGCAAAGTTTATTAAATGGTTTTGTTGTTGAGCAGATGCAAGTTTCTCATTTGCTATTTGCATATGATACGCTGATTTTCTGTGATGCGGATGTTGAGCAATTCAGGAACTTGCGTCGCTTACTTCTGTGCTTTGAAGCTATTTCTGGATTGAAAATTAATTTGGGAAAATCTAAGGCAATCACAGTTGGAGAGGTTGATAACGTGGAGGAGTTGGCTGATATTTTGGGTTGCAGGGTGGCGCATTTGCCTATGACATATCTCGGGCTTCCTTTAGGAGCACGGTTTAAAATCATTCAGATTTGGAATAGCATCGTCGAAAGGGTGGAGAGAAGGCTAGCGCGCTGGAAAAGTATGTACCTCTCTAAGGGGGGGTCGTCTTACGCTCATTAAGTCCACTTTGTCAAACCTCCCTACTGATTTCATGTCATTATTCCTATTCCTGCTGTTGTGGCTAAAAGATTTGAGAGGCTCCAAAAGGAGCTTCTTTGGGGAGGTTTAGGGGAGGAGAGGAGATTACATTTGGTTAATTGGCAGGTTGTTTGTTCCCCCTATTAGATTCGGTGGTCTTGGAATAAGAAGTCTCGTACTGTTCAACAAGACATTGTTGGGTAAGTGGTTATGGCGGTTTGGAGTGGAAAGGTGGAGCTTTTGGAGATATATTATTGGGGCAAAATACGGCATTATGGAAGGAGGTTGGTGCTTAGGTGAGAGACGGGGTTCTTATGGGGTGAGTTTGTGGCGGTATATTCGACGAGGGTGGAGTGAATTTCGGGATAGATTGACTTTTGTTGTGGGGAATGGTAATACCATCAGTTTTTGGGATGATTGCTGGTACGGAGATCAACTGCTTAAATTGGGATTTCCCTCGTTGTATCACATTGCGATGGAGCCGTCTGCCAAGGTGAACGATGTTTTAGATTTTCATGACGGAAGTCCCAGTTGGAACATTGTTTTTCGCCGAGGTTTGCAAGACTGGGAATTGGATAACTTTGCGTTGTTTTTGACATCCTTATACGAGGTTCATATCAGGGCAGGAAAGGGTGATTGTAGTAGTTGGAGGTTGACACGTGATGGGTTTTTTTCAGTTCGCACTTATTTTAGATCTTTGATGGGACCTGCTTAGAACTCATTCCCCTGGAAGATGGTTTGGAAGTTTAAACTGCCCCCTCGAGTGTCATTTTTACTTTGGATGATGGTCAGAGGACAGGTGTTAACGGTAGATAATCTTCGTACTAGAGGTTTCTATGTTACAGAGTGGTGTTACATGTGTTAGAGGGATAGGGAGACGGTTGACCACTTATTCCTTTATTGTGCTGTTGCGCGTCTATTGTGGAACGATATATTGATGTCGCAACATATGGATTGGGTGTTGACGAGGCATATTGAGGACACGTTAAAGGCGTGGAGGAGAAAATTTCGTGATCAAGATAGCAAACTTGTTTGGGGACTTATTCCGGGCTGCATCGTTTGGTGTGTAAAGACAAATCACGAACAACAGAGCAGATTAGTGAGTTGTTTTATTTCACATCGTATTCTTGGTTTAATGTTGTGGCAACTAAGCATATAGTTGGATTGCCTAATTTCATTATGGTTCTCTCTGATTTAAAGGGATAGTACACTCCCTGTGTATTATGCTTTTTTATAAAAATTTTGATTACCTTTCAAAAAAAAAAAAAGTGGCATATAAATTTATTCCAAAGAAATGCCACCAAGCTTCCGAGACTCATAAAATATTAGGATTTCACTCTTATATCGCCCCACTTATCTCACATGGTAGTTGCCTACCATCTAGTAAATTATCTATTAGAGACTTTTCTCCCAACCAAAATTCAGGCTACACTGAACTAAAGTTATTCCTAACCCACCCGCTGAAGTTTTTTTTCTCAATCTAGGCCAGACTCTTAATCATCTGCTAGATTCTATTACCTTGTCACAGCTTGTGCAACACTATGATCCCCTTGTCATTTGGTAGGTTTCTTTCATGATCCTAGTCCATGTATTTGCTGCTGTAAATAATAAATATGTTCATTTCCAGGTTGGAAACTGGTGCTCCTGCCAGGGCGAAACCCTTTGGAGTCGAGATACGGAATGTGAAATGTCTGAGATGCGGAAATTTTGGTCACCAAAGTGGTGATCGTGAATGTCCATTGAAAGATGCTATAATGCCTAATGAGGAGAATCGATTGAAACGAGATGATCCTTTGACCGCTATCCTGGCCCAAACCAATCCTAGCGAGGTAATCTTTGGAAAAACTATTCCATGCTTTTAGTTGTTTATTAATTGTCATGTATAGATTTTATCTTCTCGGTCCTCTTTTAAGTTTTCAATTTAGGGAGGCACTTAAACTTTTTTGGATTTTACTACTTATACATAAAAAAATGTACATAATGGACTACATAATATGATGTGGAGGGAAAACATTGGATGCAAAAGTTGATTGTGTTTTAAACGGGGCAAATGCTAGAGTGTCATGTGACATTATGTAAATCTTAATGTACATGTAGCAAGATCCAACTTTTTTAAAGCAAGGTGTGAGCATTGAGTGATTTGATTATTAATGATTAGGTTTGTTCGATAATACACACCAATCAATTGTGCAAGATGCTAAATTAACTCAAAACCTATAATATACACATCACATCTCAGAGTTGCATAATTCATCGTTTCAAACAGGAGAAAGAAACAAGTATAAAATTATTTACAACTACATCGTGAAATCAAAGCTATCAAAAGTCTCTATTCCTATGTTAATGAATGGCTATAAACTACTAATATATATTACAAAGGAAATCTGTATCTATTAGTAAGGAAATCTTAGGAGAAGCAGCAAAAAACATAAGTATATATAATTTACAGGTCATCATGATCTGTATTATGGTTTATTTGTTCTTACAAAATGACGTATGGCAAGTTCTAATTCTAACTGATGATACAAGCTGTGTCTAAGTGATATGTATGAACTCCTTGAATCTGTTGATTGAGGTTTCTATCAGTTTAATTTGAATTATGTCGACGAGATAATAAATTGAGATTTCAAAGTAACCACTAACTTGATATTCAGTTCTGTCAGGAATCATCAGAGGAAATGACCTCCATTTCATTTAATATTGTGATCCAAGAAGAATTATCTACTTAGCGCACTTTCTATCCACACGTCTGATCCTTTTGACTTGTCCTGCAGCCTCTGAAGTGGGAGCTGAAACAGAAACCCGGTATGAGCCCTCCTCGTGGTGGGTTCAATCTCGATGATCCCAATCAGCAAATAGTTGCTGAGGACATTTTCGATGAATATGGAGGTGAAAGCTTTGTGTGAACTTTGTGAAAATTGAGGGAATCAAGGTGTTGATTTTTTTGACGTGAATTTTATCTGTCCTTTCCCACCTGATGTGCAGGGTTTCTGGGCAGGGACAACCTACCCGAGTTGCTGACCAACTTTTCTTCAAGCAAGCCCAAGAAGTCAGGTAAGAGCAAGCACAAGAGATCATTGCCATCTAATCCGGAATCAGGTGATCATCGAGAAAGAGGGTCATCTTCTTTTGCTGATAAGTTGAGGAGATCAAAGAAGAAACACAAGAGAAGCAAGCAAAAACATTCTGAGTCGAGTTCGTCAGAGAGTTCAGATGATGATAGGTATCAGAAGAGGAGTAGCAGACGCAGGCGTCGTCATTCAAGCTCTTCTGAGGTTTCAGACTCGGGTAAGAAGCATACAAGTAAACATCGTCTTCACCATCACCATAGGCATCGGCATCAGTGAAATAGCTCTAATTCTTCATCTGATCAATCTGTCTCCAACATTCTCCTTTTCCATAGGAGCAGCGGTTATTGAAGAAAAATGCTATTAAATATCAATGGGTGTTTCATTCGTGCTGAAGAGATCCTCAGTGGCTAATATTCTGTATCTTGACTTTCATTTCTTATTACAGGGTAGGAAAAGAAAAGGTTCTTGATATTATTGGGCATCTCTTGTTCATCTTTCGTTGTTATGTTCCCTTAAATTTGCAGTAAGAAAGCATGGCTCTCCTGAATCATGCCAAAATTAGTCAATGTGATCGCAGTCATACAGGTCCTTTGTAGAAACATGTTCTTTAAAATTTTCTAGGGATGATTTTGAGGAAAGAAATGGATTTATCCACCAATGTGTCATGAACAAGGGTACATTGATCATTCTACTCTATTATCGATTATTTTTTGTTAATATTTCTTTACGGTGAGATGTTCACTTGCACAAAAAATTGTTATATTCGTTACTCTCTAAATCGCTCGATAGCATAAGTTTCAAATTCCATCTCAAAATTGAAGTAGATTGTAACATTCACTATTCTTCCATCTGTCCAATCAAATGGCAAAGAAAACACGACTTTTCCTTTTCGTGGAGGATGAAAAGTTTATGTACTTTAATTTTCTTAGTTCGATTAAACATGGTTCATTTTAGCAAAGAGAAAAGTGGGAATTCGGACAAATTGAAAAATCAAGTGACACAGAAATATGGTTAAAAAAAAAAAAGGTTTTTTTTCTTAGAAATGCTTCAAAAAGGAAAGGAGAAAAGGAAGGCAATTTTCAAGTACAAAGCACAGACTACAACCAAAAAAAGAGTTGTACTTCTCTCTACGTTAATTGTACATTAATTTGTCAAATGTAAAACCACTCTGGCATCTAAAGTTTTCTTCCTTCCCAAAACAAAATTTAAACTGTTAAACAGGACAGACTTCTCTTTCCTCTCCCAAAACCCTTTCCTCTTCTCACTCTCTCGGGTTTTAACTGCTAAACAGTGAACTCTGCTTTTCCCCAGATTTTAGAATAATCATGGCTTCATCTAGGGTTTTTGCCAGCAATTGCAGATCTCTAATGGCAGCGGCCAAATCTGCTGCTAAAGCTACCACCACCACTACCGCTCCAAAGGCCAAATCTGGCAATGCCGGCATACTCAAGGTCCAAAATGTCTCCCCTTCTCTTGCAAAGTTCATCGGTTCCTCTGAAGCCTCCCGCTCTGGTGCTGTCAAGAAAATCTGGGAGTATGTTAAATCACACAGCCTCCAGGTCCAAATTCCCGTTCGAATACTAAAACTTTATATATCTATGATTTTTTTTTTGTGTGTTCTGGATTTTAATCGCGTTATTTCAACATTGTCTTAAGGTTTTATGATGGTTACTAGTATTATGCATTACTGTCATATTCTGTCCTCCGTGGACAAAACTGATGTGGTTATTTGATTGTAGGGGAACAAGTTTTGGAGTGTAAAGTACTGCAAACTGTAATTTTGTAATTTATGCTTAGTATTTCTGCATAGCACACTTCAGTAATTGCACCTTGTTATGCTCATGGCCAAAGCTGGTATGGCATAGTATAATAATATGAATACACAAAATTGTTAATTTTTTTGTTGGTTATGGTCAAAGCTGATATGTCTATAGATTGTATACATGTCTTTTGAGATGCTGAGTGCATATGGTACTGGAACATTGTAACGTTGGACAATTGTTCTTGAGCACAGCACTTCCAGGTTTGTCACTTGGACACTCTCTGGCAGGATCAGAACAGACGCGGCATTAGATGCCCGTGCATTTGTGCATAAGTGCGTGCTAACCCAAATGGTATTACTAAGATTCAATAATATATGATGGCTTTTGTTAAGTACTACATCATTGCGTATTTTCCATGTTCTTCGGCATTCACACTTAACTGGCACATGCTCAAAACCTGATAGGGTATTAGAAACACGCATTCACAATAATTAATGGGTATTGCACCATAGTGCTATAGTGTTGTACCATGTTAGGAGTGATCATGCTACAACCTCGAAAAATGTTTCCACGCATGTTTAAAAATAATTCACGTATCTTCTGAATTTTTTGATATTGCCTGTACATTGTAATTTCAGCTGCATAGGTTTGAATTAACAGCAAGATACTAACTTGTGACTTGTTTCAATATGCTAGTCTTGGTTCTGAAAATGTTCTTTAGCATGTAAAATTTATTCAAATGCTCTTCTAATCTGTATTTTTAATCTTTGAATTGACAAAATTATTTCCTTGATTCCTATGTTGCATCTGGATCTATGTCCTTTCTTGTATATTAAGTATGCAAGATGTTTTTGATAATCCAATATATTTGGGAAAATGGTGAAGTGTCAGAAGTTTGGATAACACGACCATTTCTTTATCTTCTACCTCAAAATTGTCTACTCTTTAGCTTTCTGCTGCAATTATTTGAATGTAGTCATAACTTAAACATCATTTTGCAGAACCCTACCAATAGGAGAGAGATTTACTGTGATGACACATTGAAGACCATTTTTGATGGCAAGGAGAAGGTTGATTTTCCAGAAATTGCAAAATTGTTGTCCAACCACTTCCCAAAGGCTGCTCAAGGTTGACTAGGCTAGGCTAGGCTAGGCTTTTTAGTTTAGTAGTTTGCATAGATCCTTGTGGATGGCATTCTGTGCATTGATGTGCCTTGTACGTTTCGTATCTTTGATGCCTCTGTCCTCTTATCACGCTGTTGGATTTGTGATTTTAAAATCTTGTGCATAGACTAAATGTTCGGTGATGCAACTTCTTTGAAAGATGAAATTGAAGATTTTAAGGTGTTTTGCACTTTGGCAATGTTTTGAAGCTTTGTGTCCTATGAGAAATGGAAGCCGTGATCAATGATATGGCTATGGAGTTCTTTACACTTTGTGCTCAAATTGTAAGGCCACACATCCTGTGGCCAGTTGTTTGATATTTACAATGGGAATGAAATCTTGGCCACACACTATTGTATCTGGCGATTTCCCAATTTAGGAGGACGTCTTCTTTTAGTCTCATATAAGATTAAATTGTTGGAGGTGCGACGTTCATGGCATCTTCACCTATGTACAAGGCCGGGCTCGAGTTAATGGCTGGACTTGCTCATGGCCACGGGCACATTCTCGGAGTTGTTTAGATTCGATTTGATATCTAGTAAATCCGAATGTCTTGAACACAAAACTTCTCAAGGGTTGGACGCGAAACTTACGTGAGAGACTGTAGCACAGGAGAGTATTGTGTTAAGAATATTGTAACGTGTGTAAATTTATCTCGGTTATTTTACAAGACTTCTGTAAACATTGATTTTTGGTGTGTTTTTGTTGTTAGCTTGAGGTATGTTGAAAATTAAGGAGGAAAACTATAGGAATTAATAACTTAGGGAGTGAAAATCAGTAGTTGAAATGAAGAGTCGACCATCCGACGAACGGCAAGAAACTCTTTGAAATTCTTTGAATATTATCATCCCTATAATGGGTAAGAAGACAAATCAACACGAGTAGACCTTAAAAAGTAGAAAAAAACACGTTTATTAGGCTTTACAACACAATCAGCTCACTTGGGGATTGAGACGCCTTTGATCCGATCGACCCAATCATGAAATTGAGAGAAGGGACTCATTCTCGAAAAAATTCTGAATCGTGTCCCCTGAAAATGCATTTTTTTCTTTACATTCACACTTTATCGATAGTTATAACCTATTAAAAAGGCCGGTTTAGTGTACGAGGCTAGCTTGAAATGAGAACCTTTGTTTCATATCTGCCTTCGTTATTCATCATACTAAGCGCCCGTTTGGCCTATTTTTCCATGTTATACGATAGGAATAGTAATTTTTTGGAAAATATGTGGTTAAAAAAGAAAGAATTTTTTTTAGATTTATGCGTAATATTATTTTATTGAAAAATATATGATTGATAAGGAAAGAGAAAAATGAATTATAATTTAACGAGGAACAACGTGTGTGAAACGGGAACTAGGGGTGGGCATAGGTTGGATTGGGTCGGTTTTTGCCTCAACTCAAACCCAACCCAACATGATCGGTTTGATCAAAATTTAACCCAATCCAACCCGTGTAAAGGTTGAAACTCAACCCAACCCAACCCAACCCAATTAAGTATCGGTCGGGTCGGGTCGGGTCGGGTCGGGTCGAATTGAGTTGGTCGGTTTCACAATTTGTCAACAAAAATTAAAGTCATCCAATTGTCTATTATACTAAATTCAAATAAACAAGATGAAACAATAAGTAAATAAATAAAATTATCTATTATCTTTTTCAATTCTCATTAGCCGAGCCTACAAAGAACAAAGTGCATTTTAACATAATATGAAAAAGTTATACTACGTTTCTAGTGGGAATGAGAGTAAACCCCTCCTCTAAAATGCACCAAGCTAATTATAATTAAACTATTCACTCATACTTTTTAGGTTCTTTTTATTTTTTAGGCATTTTTTTTGTAAGTAGGTGGGTTGGGCGGGTTTATTCGATTTTCATGAGTTAACTCATAACCCAACCCAACCCGCCTACCAGTGGCAGACCTAGCATCTAATCTCAGCTCGGGCGGACGTTAACAAGTTAACGTCGACAATCAGCAATCTTAAGAGCGATGTCATTTATTAATATTTAATTATATAATATTAAAAATTATTCAATATATAAGTAAACGTAAAAATTATATATATATATATTGAAACGTACTTCAATACAACCCAAAATAGTAAAGGAATACGCAATACAACATACTCTGTAACGTGATCCTAGACAACTTTATTCTACTGGATCTCATGTTTTGAAAACGTTGCAATATTGCCTCATTCTCAATTTTTTCAAAAATCTATTTCTCCATGTATACCACCAAATTGTCGTTCAACTAGTCATCTTTTTGTTGCGCAAGCCGCAAGTCACTCTTGATTGGATTCATGGCAGAGAATACTCTTTCAACACTTGTAGTTGCCTTAGCTAAAATCAAAACTAAGGTGATCAGCCTATAAATTAATGGAAAATAACCAGAACTTCTTATTTCGACCAACTTCTGAGCAACACAAGAAATGCTATTGAGGTTCAAAAAAACTTCATTCATTCTCACAAATATAAGAAACTTATCAAGTTGAGGTCGAAGTAATAAAAGCTCTTCCTTATTGAAGTCCCAAGGATACAACTGAGCATGACGTATCAATTTATCCCTATCAAATGCTGCAAATGAATCTCTTGGATTAAAATACGAAATGCAAGTTAGGAGCTCAGTAGTTGTTTCGGAAAAACGATCATTCAACTCTTGCAAGATTGATTCTATCACATGACGATACAAATTAACATAAAAGTGATGATAATAAGTCACCTGCTGAGTTCCACGCCTAGGTAGACCTTTCAGTACCACAATATCCTCCATATTGGGCACTAAAATATGTCTAATACCACAAAACTCAATCACCCTATTCAACAAATTATCCCAGACATTGTATCTCATGTCCTGCAATGCATATTTACACACATTCAGTAACCTCATAGCATTCTCAATATCCTGATCATTTTTCTGTAAGGCTTGTGAAAGGTCGTCTGTAATTGCAAGAATTTCAAACATGAAGTGGAGACTGAACACAAACTCAAAGTCCTGCATAGTATCCATTTATCTTGCGGCCATTGATTTCTGATCTAAATTTACGCCATCTTCTGATATATCCTCAAAAACATCTATGATAACATTAAACATATTAATCACACGAGTAATTGTCAGTAGATGTAAGCCCCATCTAGTTTCACTTGGGCGTGCCAAACTCATTTCTTGAAACTTACCACTCTCACCACAAAGTTCCCCAATATTAAGCTTCTCCAAAATATCGGCATGGTAACTTGTTCGAAGAGCATCTACACGCTTACATGATGCAGTGCACCCACCAAATTCACAATAATAGAAAGCATGTTAAATAAATCACCAAACATATTATTCTTACGTACCACAAAAATAATTGCCAACTGAAGTTGGTGAGCAAAGCAATGGACATACATAGCATAGGGGTTCTCTATTAAAATTAAACTTTCAAACCATTGAACTCGCCCGACATATTGTTTGCTCCATCGTAACCTTGATCTCTCAAGCGAGATATGCTCAACCCATACGTAGAAAACATCGCATCAATGACATCCTTCAGTGATTGGGCACAAGTATCAACGACATGGGGAATGCCCAAAAAACTCTCCTTCACGAGCCCACTTTGGTCAGTAAACCTCAAAACAACTGCAATTTGTTCTTTTATAGAATTATCACGAGCCTCATCAACTAAGATTGAAAACGAACATTCACCCATCTCATTGATAATAGCCCTTGTTATCTCTACGGCACAACAATTAATCAAGTCTTTTTGGATCTTTAGTGAAGTCATCTGGTCATTTCCAGGAGCATTACTGAATACTACTTGTTTAACTTCTTCACATCGAGCTGCAACCAGTCTAGTAAGTCAATTAGATTTCCTCTATTGATAGACTCTTTGGATTTGTCATGACCACGAAATGCCAATCTTTGCGTCAAGAGGAATCCAGTACAATCTAACACTGCAGTCAATCTTGTCCTACAAATTTTTTTTTTTGACAACTACTTTGGCTGGAAATAACGTAAGAGATACTTTGCTTTTGACTCATCAAGTTGGTACACTTTGCGAATGCTTGATTATGAGCACTATCAAAGAGGCGGACATGATCTTTCAATGTCTTTTTGTGCTTCCAATCCCTAAAGCCGATCTTAGTGAATACATGTCCACCCCCTTGACCTCCTCTATCCGGTTTGAACAAGTAGCAATACAAATAATACGCCGCATCCTTTTCTACATTGTACTCTAGCCAATCAAATTCAGCGAACCATTCTTTTCGAAAACACCTGTTATCACTTCCCATTTGTCTTCTTGGAAAGTCATGTCCATGTGGTCGACAAAGACTTTTATTTTCCCCCAGTTACAAACCCTAAACCCTAAATCCAATTCCAAATCCAATTTTATTTTCCCCCAATTCCAATTCCAATTCCAATTTTAATTTCCCCCAATAATTTAATTCCAATTCATAAATCATATTTCAAACAAATTAAAAACTATTACAAAATCATGATTTCAAAACTCAAACAGATAATAACACCAAAAACCAAAAGAAAAAAAAGAAAAAAAAACGATGGCAACAACCGACAGACAGAACAAAAAAATAAACTTACTAACTCAAGATTAAATTGGTGAACAGGAGAAGACGGTGGTCGGTGGTGGTGGAGAAGACGGTCGGTGGTGGTTGGCGGCAACGGGCGACGGCACGGTGATGGGCTAAAGGCAGGCAGTCGTAGTCACTCGAAGCAAGTAGCAAATCGTCTCTCACTCTCAGCCCCAGCCCAATAACAAAACAAAGCCCCAACAGCCCCACCATTGCCCAGCCAGCGAAGACGAACAGTCACTCAGTCAGGCACCAAAAAAATTTCCGGCGGAGCTCAGCACCCGCGGCCGCCCCCCTAGCCGGGTGCTGGGTCCGCCACTACCACTTACATAGCCAACCCACCCAATTCGTGTAAAAACAACCAAAAAATTAACCCAAATTGATCGGGTTGGTTTGGATTGGACG